TCCCTGCAGTGCAGACGTCAGACGTGTTGAAAGGGCGAGAGACGATGCCCGAACATTTCACGGGGCTCGGATGGGTCTCTGCAATCCGATGTCAAGGATTCAAGGGTCGACACTCGCTGCCCGTGGAAAGGAGGCGCCTTGTGGACCTTTCATCGGCGAATGCTCATTGAAAGCACAACCTCCTCTTGTGGGAAATGGTGCTACCAGTCGCCCTTGCTGTGCACATTACAGAGCCGCCTATCACGGTGACCGCTCTCTCGGGCTTGGAAAGCGAGCCTCTGCAAGCGTTGATGGAGGTGGTAACGGCGCGGCCAATAGGAGCAAAGGCAGGACCCACCGTGCGTGTTCTGCTCGGGAGCGCAAATGCGAGAACGTTCTGCGCCTTTTTCAAGAAATCGGGTTCAACAAAGGAGCAGATACGTGTGGAAGCCAGCTCGGCTGCCAAGCCAAGGACCAATCGTCCCCGGAAGCAGCGTCGCGCCTTGGCCGCGGGCGTTCACCACGAACTTGCAAATGGGGGGGATTTTGTGCACACAAACGCCTAGCTAGCGTAGGCGGCGTGCCCCTTCGGGTGAGCTTTGACGAGTTTTGGAGAAGCGTGGAACCTAAACTGCAACCGCGCTTTAGGAATTCTATAGCGTTCGTAGAAGAAGCAGCGGCCGAGGGATGGCCTAGCGTCACTAACCTAAACGCGCTGCGGGAGAAAAACAAGATCGGAGCGGACGTGAGCCTTTCCTGGGGTTTGCAATTGCCCGCTGGCGTCTAAGGACAAGGGATTGTTAAAAGGAAGTGCATAAAAAAGCCCAACGAGTTTTGCCCCTTACAATCTTTAGCTTGTAGAGTGCACCGAACTATCTATAAAATGTGTGAAGCGTACCGAATTGTGCTAATGTGCTAATGTGCTAATGTGCTAAGGTGCTAGGTGCATAATAACGGACGTCAATCTCCAGCGTGACTTCAGCTTCACGCTTAAAGGAATAGTCGCTCATCATACATGCCAAATAGAGCAACTAGCACAAACAACGGCTGGGACAAGAGCTAGGTCGGACGACAGTCTGCATTTATGCTTCTTGCGTATATAAACGCTCAATCCGCGCGGGGGTTGCTGAGGCGTACGCGCAATGAGAAGCACCATAACGCGTTTTTGTTTTTTCACCACGAGGATCTCGCCGCCAGTCATCCACGCGAGAGAAACAAGATGGACACATGCATCCGAAAACTCGACAATTTCTAATACGATATTAGGCGCATAAGAGTACCGAAGGTGCGAAAGGAGCATATGTCCCAGACAGACATTGTACAAAGAACCGGGCTCGCCGCAGAGGCGAAAAGACGAATTTGTGAGGGGGTATAGTCTGCAAAAGGCAAGGTAAAATAATGTGTCAAAAGCTGAAAGAGTGTCAAAACTAGATGACTCAGTTGTGTACAACGCCGTTTTCAGAACGTCCCGAAATGATTCTACTCGGAAAGAGGTACGAGTTTGTACAAGGTTGACTAAAAAAAGCAAGCTATAGGCTCTTCGAAGAAAACAGTTGCCAATATCGCCTAGTTTGCTGTCTTGCTTGCCATGAATAGGATTCGAAACCAAAAACATCACGTTGAACCTACGTAATAGGTCAGGTAGGTATCGAAATAGAAGCAGACAGACAAAACGCTAACCCTTCTGTGGTTCGAAAAGAATTTCACGGGTCAATTTTTTTGCCGAACTTCACCACGTTGAGGAATACATTTGCCAGTTCACTGCATGTGCCTTTATGCACGCTTTTTCAATGCTTTCCCCTGGTACGGTTCTCCACAGTACGGGGTTTGGAACAACCAGAGCACCTTTTGTATTCCTTCCCTTCTATAACACAGTTGCGCAGAGCCCTGGACTATAGCTGGTCCCAGATGTTCGATGCCGCGGCTCCGAATATAGCGCTGTCTAAGATCACGCCAACGTTTGCGGGGCCATTGTCGCCGATCATGCCCCGATCGCTTCTTGAGGAGCCTGATGTACGACCGGAGCAATAACTTTGGCTTCCAGCATAGCTCCAACTCCGCCCATGCAACATCCTTTCTCACCAGGACAGCCCCACTGACCAACCGGGAATGTCGCAAAGTGAGAAAACGGTGGAAGAAACGGTCTCCTGTCATACTTCATCAGACTTTTGAGCACGGAGAGTGTCTGGTTCGGTTGCCAGATCTGGCAGGAGCGGTTCATTCGACTGCGCAAATATGCCCGGTGGAAATATGCGCATAAGCCGGGGGGTATTGGCAGCTGATCAGCTTGCCAATCTTGGATCCCTGGTTGTAGAAGAGAAGGCTGAAAGCTGCCTCCACCCTCTTGCTTACTTTTTCATGCTTTCGCTTCAGCTTGCTCAAGACGTACTATGGCTAACCGAGAGCACACATTTCATCCGGGTTCTTGCCGATCCCAAAGATGGCGGCAAGCTTCATCGAGGGAGTCCATAGCGAAACGCGCGACCTGTGCTTCAACACTCAAAAACCTGACAGCCCCATGCTGGAGAGTAACCATGTTTAAGCATGACACAATTTCAGCGCGTGCGGCCAACGTTTATATGTTGATCTCGGCAGTGTTCAGGATCAAGAAAGGGTAGTACGTTGACCCGGACAGCAAAGTTGGCATGTACATCACGCTCACATTAGGCGGCTCTTGTTCCTGCAGGGTGGCAGTTTGCGTTCTTGCTGTCTGTTCGGCCGGTCGACCAATTCCGCAACGACGATGAATCGAAGCTTGCGCGACTTGTTGAGGGCTCGCCAGAACAAACTACTCAATGCTTCTACTCCGGTCACGTTCGTATTGACATGACCTAATTGAAGCTATATACTATGGCGACCAAAAGCACCCGCTTCCGTTCCTTTCGACGAAGAAATGTTCGATGTACGGATCCCTCGAAAGTGACGACGACTGGCACATCTGCAAAGTTACTGCCGCATGTTCAATGACGAGTCGACTCTGAGGAGGTAGGTCGTGAAGAGGCGATTGGGAGCTAGATTTCGGGTGGCCAATACAGGCTTCTCAATGTGACACGTTGCACGTGATCTCATGACTACCCATTTCCGATCCGCTTTGCTCGAGATTGGCTCATACTTACGTTTGGGCTCCTTTCGATGTCCAATCAGACTCGCTTTTGGGCTCGCAACAAGGCAGAAGCATGACCGTAACCCTTGGCGTCAATGCAACCCATCATAGGCTCGCTGTTTACGCCACCCAGGCAACCCTCTTTCGCAGTGCCGTCCAAATTGTCTCCACTGGGGTTGGAAGCCAGGACCCACGGCCCACTCGGCCGTCCGGCGACGTCACTATGACGTCAACCCGGTCTACACATTTTGTTATCAGTTTAACGCGCCAGTGTAGCCCGAGTGGTAGCGCGTCAAACTTACAACACGATCGCTATTGTGTTTCTTCAACAGGCGACCAAAGAACTAGCATGCACCAGATCAGTCCGCTCATAGGGTCATAACGGGCACCGCCGTGTCATTACAAGCTGAGTCTACCTCGCCGGATCTCTAAAGTCCTCTCACCTTACCGAGACCCACCTGATGAACTCGAGCTTTTTCTGTGCCAGAATATCGCACCCGACCACTTCTGCAACCAAAAGGATAGTGGTCGACAGATTGAGCGTGGTACAAATGCCGTCATTGTGTGACCTAGCTTTTGAGAGCAGGTTGGTTGACTCTCCTCATTCATGCCACCTGCCGAACTGATCAACAAGGAAACTCTTCAAGGAATTGAACCGACTCAGGATTTTCATTGTAATGATCTGAGCTGATCACTCTCGATTCGCTGCAGCATAAAAAAACACTGGCAAATCCGCAGGGCGGCCCTCCCGCAACGGGAGGGGACGGTTGCGGTCAAGACAACACGGGACATGCCGAAGACTCGCTAGTGACGGTAAACCGAGGGGCGCGCCAACGAATTCGTGGTGAGCGCAATCACCGGAGGTGCCACAGGCTGCGGTTGTGACCAAAATCCATTTGAACGCTCCTCAAACGTGGCCGTGGTGCAGATCTCGCACAAGAGCGGCGGACTCTGCCGAATCACATCTAAACGGAGGTGTATTTTTCAAAGAAAAAACGGCGGTCGCAGGCTTCCATTCTGAAAAGGACATCCGCAACACCCCAGCTTCCTAGCCGGACACAGGCCTGTGTGCGCTAAGCAGATGGTACCAAGTTTGTCTCCTCGTTCAGCGGCGGAGGGGATGAGATGCACGGTGGTCAACCCGGCGCTCAAGGTCGACCCGACGCTCATAAAGCAGGTAATCGAGCGCTCGGCGCTTGATCGAGACTCCCGCATCGGCGTCGAGCAGTGAACGACGCTCGTCAAGGGGGCTTCAGGTTGGTTGGCCGTTAAAGGCCTGTGTCTGATGGTACTAGGCTATAAGACGCTCGGGTCTAGTCACTTCACAAACTCGCAGCCCGGAATTACTAGTTAAACAGTGATTCGGCAGCAGAGAAAGTATCGTTGCGCGCGTGTGTGTCGCCGCAGCCCAGTGGGTTACCGAATTGTTACAATGGTATCAGAGGCTGACGTCATGACGATCTCATGACGCTTTCCTTCGATCCAAGGGTCGTGGGCTCGAATCCCTCAGGGCAACTCAGGTGATTTCTGCCTCTCCCTGAAAAAGTATCGTTGCGCGCGTTTTTGCCACCGTAGCTCAGTGGGTTACCGAATTGTTACAGTGTGCCCAGCCGCAAGTAAACCGGTAAGCATCACTCCACTCGACAGTGCTTGCTCACCCTCATTTGCTCTGCAACGCGATGTGCCGCGGTGTTTGTTCCAAATAGCGCGGGGGTAGCGCCGGGGAGGGCCTAGTCGGGCCATCCTGCATTATAAACTTGGGGGGGGTGGGAGGGGCGGGGAGCGGCAAAACAAAATCAGATTCGTCACGCCATGAATTCTCGAAAAGATTACAAAGCTTGAAATCTGTGCTTTGAAGTCTCCTCGTGCTTGCAGAAAACGCAGCTCGCCCGCTTTTCAGCGAAGGAGCAGGCCCGAGACGGCTCAAGTTCACGCAAAAGCGGCCACGGAAGACGTCGTCGCCCCGCTCTTTGTCGGACGCGTCCACGTTTACGCCGTCGACCACCAACGACACGCAATCTCACTGCCACAGTGAGCACCTCCCGGAACGCGCCGAGCATGATCTCGCGCCTGCCTGCCGGAACAGACTCAACAATGTGCCCGGCTCTGGGGGACAGTAGTTCGGCGGGTCGGCAAAATACAGGCGAGTTGGGTCCCACCTAGTGCTCGGTTGTCGAGGTTTGGTCTGAACGTAGCAGCGTTGCCATGTGGCAGGTAGATATTGGGTTGGGCGTGACAGAGAAGCCAGCGCGAGATCCAAGGCTGTAGACGGCCAGAAAAGACTTGGTTTCGTGCATGAATTGGGAGTATGTCAGGCAAGCTTGCAATTAAACGGGAAGCCCGGTCGCCTGTCTGGTTGCTTTGCAATGGCTTGTTGCACGCTCATCTTAAGCATTTGTTGCCTTCTCGAGCACGGAGCACTTACTTTAGATTCTGTCGCAAACTAAGCGCATTATTCGTGAATAAGAAAGTGGTTTTGCGTGCACACCCTGCTACCATCAACTTGCAGTGCCATCGTCGCCACACGACCTCCCAAGAGGCCCGTAAAAAATCGAGCCACCTTGCGCTGCTCGTAGATAAAGTTTCCATAGCTAAGTACGTTACTGGAGTATGAGGAGAAGGAAGGACAAAATAGGATAGCTAAATTCTTAATAGAACAGTCCGCTAGGCATGTTGTGATCCCAAACGGACTTTTATGATTCGTTCATTCATTCACATAAGCCCACAGTCACCGCGAGGCAGCCCATCGTGGCCGAAGCTATTGTGACAGCAATAATCAAGCCTCATTGATATCCAACTGCTGCATTGGACATGCACAACGAACGTTATCTCAACCCATTTGAACACTTTGTACCAAACTAAGTGGGGTTAGCAACAGGACGGCGTCGTACTTGTGCTTCGGCGCAGCCGCTCCTCTATGGTAATCTTTGCAATCCCTCTCAGCGTCAACGGACATGCATGTAACAACAGGATAGGGTTGACAAGTTGGTGGTCCCGGCCTAATAAGAGTATCAATGATACACTGCGTGCGCCGAGGATTGGATCCAACAGATTCGATCATTTCAGATGACAGTGGCCTGAGGAGGAGATATTGTGATCTGTATGGTGCCACAGAAGTTGCAGCTATTGATTTCACGTCTGCCTATACAACCAAGTGGGCACAAATTCAAGGCAGCGTAAGAAGCTCCGCAGAGCGCAGATGAACAGGCTGTGGATATGCCTGGTGCATTGCCACGATCAACTGCAGCTGGAAAACGGTCTTTTCCTTGACGGGGTCCCTTCTTTTCAATTAACTTCACGCGTAGACACCGGATCCAACGCGCCTTGAAAAGGTGTCAACTAGCCTACCCTCATCCTTTGACCCGACTGTGGCTCTCTTCAAAACGGAGCGTCTCGCGTCAGACCACCACGCTCTTCACGCTCGATGTCACTGACAGGCCACCTACCAGTCCGATCTTCGTTGTTTGAGCTTTGATATAACGTCACATATTTGTGGACAACCATCTGGTCCTTTTCAGGAGTCCCTAAGATCTAGCCGCCTTCCGCATTCGTGCCCTAACAGTAAGAGGGGTACGCCTCCGGATTCCTGTATTGAAGATCGTAATGCATAGTAAGGTCGTTGATCCGGGCACTAAACGCGACCGCCCCGTCCGTTCTTCGAAATGAAAATTTAACGGTGTTGAGAAACTTCAGCGCGAATCGATCACAAGTCGAGCTAAATAATGGCTTCCCATTCTGATCAACCAGAGCCTTGATAGGCGTTGCCCTCTTGTAAACCTTTACCCAAATGGTATCAAGAGCGAGGCCTTCTGAGGAACATGGTTCTCGAATACTCTGCGCAAACCCAACTTGTGGAAGAGACATGGGGAATCCGCTCCATGCAGGAGGCAGAAAGAACGGGAAGCTTCTCCTGCGAGACAATCATAAGACGCGTCCCCTTTACGCCGCGACTGCATGTGTATCAGGAAGAGGGAATCTAGGTCCACAACACCTTTGTGGACCTACACTATTTGTCCAGTACAGGTTGGAACGAGTATACCAAAGCCTAAGCGTAGAGTTGCCGACACATTCATTGACTCGCGGTCGGCATATCGAGGCTTTTTGCGGGCTTGGTACAGCGCGCCGGTCCCTTGCCGAGAAAGAGAGTGAGACGGGTCTCCGTCAAACGCTTCTCAAACACATAGTGAACAGCGACGCACTGAGCCTTTGGCGGGATTGGGTTGAGAAACCGCGCAAGCGGAGCAGGCTTGTATGTGCACTATGTCGATATGAGAACCGTCGCCGGAGACAAAATCCTTTCTCCACAATTGCAATACAAGCACCCACTCTCCAAGGCACGGTCTGTGAAAGCTCGTGCCTACAAAAACCTCGAATCAGACCCATGCAGGGTGAATAGAGCGCAACGGTCGGCAGCAGCAAAGATATAGTTTCCAGCTAAATTCTTTGGCTCAACCCTCGAGATTGGCTCCTTGGGGGTGGTTCACGCACGCCTCAGAGAGCGGCCCCCCCATTCGCCCCACCAGTCGCTCCTCCAGTCGCTTAGAGGCGAATGCTGCAAGGATTCTCCAAGGAGGCAAGTTGGAAATGAATGTTTTCAACTTGCGCAACGTACTATTCATACTAGCAAGCTCCGGCGATTTCGAACACTTGCAAACCGGTGTTATCGAATCTTTCAACACGATTGATTCGCACGTTAGCATATCTGATAATAGTCAAGGTGCACGGGTTGCGCAACCCTTTGGCCTCGCCGGCCGCTTTCGAAAATCCTTATTACGGAAACCTTGCCACGGTCAGATAGGGCTTCAATAACCCTTCAAAGTGGACTCGTGTCACATCCCGAATGTTGTTAGAAACAAGGCGCCGTGAACGTTTGAGAACGCCTCAATGCTCATTACTAAGAGATACATCTTATGAAATTTTGTTGAGATACGGGCATTTAGGGACCGATTTCTGGATGATTCTAGGGTTTTAGGATCACGATGTCGACGGTAATCCGACGGTAACTGGAAGTTACGGTTACACGGTTAAATGCGCGCGCCGG